AATTTAAAATTCAACTCAAGTAACAAAGTAAATAAATCTATGATCCCTGTAGTAGAAAGTACTGGAGTCAGTTTATATGCTTTTCAGTGTGACCGTTTTTGATTTTTGTGACCGTCATATTATGTAAAATAGATTAATTACATGCAAACACTCTCACTGGTAAATTGAGTAACCCATACTTGATAATTATAAGTTAACAAAATAGTTAAAATTCCAATTASTCTAAACTCTTTAAATAAAACTATTTACTCTAAAAAACGAGTRCTCAGTTATTTGTTTTTTGTATAATGTACATCATACAAGTAATTTTATTATTTTACGAACTATTTAAAAAAAAAGTGATCGGCATAATATATTTAAAATTAAAAATACGGAAAGTGGATATCACTCTGCTGTACATCAGGTTATAAGTGGGTTACTGTAATGGATGGAATTAAATTTGAATCCAATGATATTATATCATTGTATACGGAAAATGATTCTGAGTGGAGACCGGTTATTTGTCTAGGATATATTATTTTAGATTATTATTATTTAATATTAATATTTATTAAAATATTTAACTTTCCAGTGGACATTTTTTTGAATAGATGTCATTTCAATTTTCACGGACAAACCCCCATCGCCCCTACAACTAACACGCCCCCTACAAACAAGAAAAAAAATTAGTAGGTACTTATCAAAAATATTTATATAATTCTAAAAAAAAAAAAATCAAAAGTAGTCCAAATGTTTTGAAAATTTTACCATGTCTAGGTAAAACTAATATAAGTAAACAACCCAAATTTCAAGTTTTTACAAATTTTTTTAACCGAATTACAACAAAAAAACTCCCAAAATTAAAATGACTATAAATAGCTCAAAAATTGCTAAAATTTTCCGAACTTTAAACCGTAAGGAACAAAATCCAAAATCCAAAATACAACAAAAAATATATCTTGTAATTTTTCATTTGAAGCAACATCTTTTGTAGAAAACGTCGTCCGTAATTATTTAATATTATAAAATTGTGATATCGTGAAATCGTATGTTTTTCTCCTTTAACCGCTTTTATTTCGAGTACAGTTTCGAAAATYGAAAAATGACTTATTTAAAGTACCAGCTAAAGAATATTATTTTTCAGAAAAGATGCTACACTTGATGCTTTTGAGCAAGTTTAGAGGGAGAAAAAGTGTTTACAGAATAAAAAAGAAAAAGAAATAAACATCATTGTAAAACCAATACATTCCTTGCTCCGCTAAGGATCYAAAATTAATACGAAATACGTATGTATTTCAAACGTAATAAAACGGCCTCAAAATAATATATACATGTACATTTAAATAAATAATAATATAATATGTATAGGTACAATCATTTGGTTGTTGTGGAAATTATAAATATTTTAGATTTTACTAAAATTGTGTTTATTTTTTACAAGTTACGAGGGGATATCTTATGAATAAACTATTCAAATGTCCGTCAAAACATTTGTTATTAATTTTTCAGTACAATAATGTCGTTTCGTTACGTTCATCCAAAGTAATAGTTTAGTAACAAGTTTTATACGCCCTGTATTGTAGCATTCATATTCAAATTGATATCAAGCTACACAATATACGAAAAATGTATTCGTCAATACTTTAATAATATCTTATTTTACATTTATATTTTCAATATGTTGATTCATGCTTTGAACATTTAACTCAACTATATGAAACATTATACTGCGAGAGTTTATTAAATAGCGTGTCTAATAACTTTAAACGAGTAAACTACTATATTATGATTTATTTTAAGCATATTTCCATTACACGTAAGTTTTTATTTTTTACCATAAAAACTACCAAGTAGTAATTATTTCAGAAT